ATAAATATTTGTACAAGATATTTTATTGCACTCACGAAATGAACATACACAATTACGATAAAACGTGTGCTATATAAAATTACAGGATTATATTTATCTTTATTTAGTAAAACAAACAGACTATGTTATTAAAAATTTGTGGTAAGGAAAAATTGCATATATTTATTTCATTTATCCTTACTGGTGGCACAATGGAACTGGTCGTTAAAGGAACTAATATAAAAATGGTAAATTTAAAAAAGGAATACAATAATTATAAAAAAATAATTATCCATGTTCTTTATTTGAATATATTTTAGATTAAGTACTTTTTTCGTGCCATAAGTACGTGCTCAATGTATTTTTATATTTACCATTAGGGGCGTTTTGTTACTAGGTGCCACGCTTGGCAGGCAGATTGGCAACTGCAGTTAAGCTTTAGAGATGCTTTAAGAGGAACACTGCTATCCATCCCTTGACCATTAAGTTCTCTTATGACGCCCATGGGAAGGAAAATAGCCGATTCTGTGCTAAGATCACACGGCAGAGAGTTATATGTTAATATATTATTCTGTCAAAAAAAATTTATGAATGGATTTATAAATTAAAAATTCGAATTAATTTTGAACAGATACGTCATATTTGTAAATAGAACTACTTGTCCACTAATATTAAAATGAATTCGTAATAAATTCCGAAAGGAATTCAAAAGTTCCAAAAATAATTTTACAACTTTTTATTAATTAATATGTTTAGTACCTTTTACAAATTCAAACTCAGCTTTGACACAAAACAGTTTTTAGGTTCTAAAAATGTCCACGTTTCAGTTCTCAAACTTTGCGTACGGAAGCGTCGTGCACGCGATTTTACAATGAAAGAGATTATGAACTTTGTTGCTGAAAATGTCTGTGAGTTTTTGTAAAAATGTTATATTGGAAGTATTTTACAAAATGCTTTAGAAAGGTTACAAATATTAAATTTCGCAAGTGGTGTAGGTACTCGTAACACGAACTTAGTAAAATTTTAGTAAATGAAAAATAAACAATTTAAGGTTGTATTTTTACATAAAAACTGATATAAACATCCAGTTATTATGATATAAAAACAATCTGAAAGTAGTTCATTAAAAAAATATTTTTTTATATCGATTTATAACTAAACGGAGTTGTGAGGTAACAAACATAAATAAATACCTCCGAATTGAGTCCTCTTCTTTTTTTGAAGTCAGTAATAAAATAATCAAAATACAGACTTAATACAAAACACGTGTATAGAGCATATTTCTTTTTAAATGGCCGGCAGCACACCTGCAATGCCTTTAGTGTTGTGGGTGATCATGGGCGGCGGTAGTCACTTACCATCAAGTGAGCCGCGTGCTCGTTTGCCCCTTGTGTTATAAAAAAACGTATGCTTGGCCACTAGTGTTTCTGCAGCTAGGCACAGAAATGCTCGCATGACTTTAAAGAGTGCGATATAGCAGTAAAGTTACAAGTTACTGAGGAACAATACCTTAATCCTTAGAAATAGCAACACATGAAAGATACTACTTGCATCGCAATAGATTAGATTAGAATAGATTTGTTTATTTGCCAGAACATTGTTTTTACAGATATTGATCTGTTGTGAAGTACAAATGTTCGCCTTATAGACTAAAGCGTGCAAAATTATTATTGGATACAAGATACATTACATTTAATACATACATATAAGTGACTTAACATTACATCAACTATTTATTCAATTAATAATAATAAAATTATAATAGTATATTAAAAAACTAATCAATAACAATACATTTGATTCAGTTCAATGTCAGTGCTAATTAATAATAGTGTACAAATTATGTCATTCTGTAAATAATTCTCCCAAAAAAGGATATCGTTTATCGACATCAAGTAATAATATCTCGTCAACAATGCAACAAACAACAAAACAAGTAATAATAATTCGGCTACAATAAGCTCTGTGATACATTTCATGTCTGTAAGTGAAGGTCGCCATTTCTCATTATGGCCTTGAGCTTGTTTGCTATTCGATTAAAATATAAATAATCTTTATTCCGTTGCCATGTGGTTCCGGCATAGAATAGATCGCCCTTTCCCGTGGGTGTCGTAAGAGGCGACTAAGGGAGGGCGAGAGATGGGTAGCAACGTCCCTCTTAAAACATCTCCAAAGCCTAACTGCAGTTGCCAATTTGCCTGCTAAGCGTGGCAACTACTGGCAAAATCCCCCCAAGGGAGAGGCTTATGTTCAGCAGTGGACAGTTAAAGGCTGATATAATGATAATGATGAATCTTTATTCAATAGACTTTTAAGCTCTTTTAAATACTCAATTTTTAATGACTTAAGGGATTTTATTATCTTTTGAGAAGAGAACTCGCAAGAAACTGAACAGTTACTTTTTACAAATTATATATATATATATATACTTTATTGCACTAAAACATACAGTAATAACAATGTTAGCAAAGGCGAACTTATCTCTAAAAGACATTTCTTCCAGTCAACCTAACGCAGTGACATAGGAAGTAGTGAGTGGGCAGTAGTAGTGCAAGACAGAAATTAAAATATTTACATAAATTATAAATAAATATATACATACATATATACGTTATTATAACGTACGTAATTATTACGTACAAGAAAGAAAAACAATATTATGTAAAAGAAAATAAGAAAAATATTGATATTATTTGTATGCCTACTTATATACATACTTGTTAAAATAACTTTCCCAATAATGACTGCCGTTTTCGTAAAAAAAAATAGAGGCCTCGTTGGAAAAAATAAAATATAACGACCCCGTTTATTTGGGGAACTCAAGAATTTACAATACAGATATTTTATAAAGACAAAAGTTCGGATATTTATATGCACGCTACAAGGAAATTGGAGGAAGGTTGAAGTGACTTGAGAGTACCGTAAGACAGTTCTTACATTAAATTTTAATGAGAAACCAACACTTCGCCGATTCTAAGCGAGTTTTCTTCATGCTATAGTTTTTTTTTTTTTCATAAATCGACGATTGCCATATTTTTAATTGATCAAGTACTAGTATATAGACTGTGCCTAATAATAAATATTCAATTTACTCCATAAATATTTGTAACACTAGAGACAGAAGGGAAAGTGTTTGTTAGTAACAAAGTCCAACAGCCTCATTGCTAGCAATATACCCTCTAAGGTCGACCACGTGAGTACTCCCTGGAAACCATCGTGGTTACTTCCTCTAAAATTCGTCACGGTAGGTTTTTTTTATACAACTTAGAATGGTAAACGAGCTGACGGCCTACCTGATGGAAAGTGATAACTGTCGCCTATAAATATGAGCAGTACCATGGACATAACAGAGTATACTGTTTTGCCCATGATACCCCCATGTGTTGCCATTCCTGAGGATTCAGGTGTTATTCCTCTGTACCCTGTAAACACACGCCATATCTCTCCCTTCAAATCGAAACACAGCCATGCAAACACAACTGTTTTACGGTTAAAACACGAACGGGACAGAGGTACCCAAGCAAACGACTTTTGTACAAAGTCTCCCTCTGATAAAATGCCCTGCTTTCATCTTCACCTATTGGTGCCTATTGGTGTGGTAAAATAATTAAAGATATTTTCTTTTGAAACGCTGTTCTCTGCCTGCCTTGTAGGAAACGTGTCATAAAAATAAATCAATAAGTAACTATTTATATTCAGATAATACATGGATAAATAAACAAACTTGTATTTCAAAACTAGAATTTATTTACATCTCCTTTATCCCCCACAAAAAAGGAGCAACGTCAAATCCTTTATCCCTCATTATTTTTTCATCCGATTCACAAAGTAAACACTCTGTATTCATAACTGAAACATAACAGAAACAACTTGCCGCAGCCGTCTTAATTATCGTCGAATAATAAAGAACGAAAAAGCATTACTAACTTTTTCGGGGTCGGTTTAAATATTCATGCACCCTCCGAAATGTAACGGTCCTCCAGAACAGGAAAAATGGTGCGCCCGTGACGTGGCCTGATATTTTATACAATACAATACAACGTAAAAGCAATTCCGCCGTTATAATTATAACGGACGGATGACAAGCGAGTTTTGTATCGCAAACAGAAGGAATACTATTTATTAATGATTAATATACGGATTAATCTTATAGTAGCTTTAATCAATAAATAGGTTAATAGTAGGTGTGGATATTTTTTTTTATGTACAACTTAGAATGGCATACAAGCTGACGGCCCACCTGATGGAAAGTGGTAACCGTCGCCTATAGACATGAGCAGTACCATAGACATAACAGAGTATACTGTTTCACCTATGATACCCCCCATGCGTTGCCATTCCTAAGGACTCAGGTGTTATTCCTCTGTACCTTGTAAATTCACGCCATATCCCACCTTTCAAACCGAAACACAGCCATACAAACACAACTGCTTCGCGGTTGAAACACGAATGGGACAGAGGTACCCAAACAATCGACTTTTGTACAAAGTCTCCCTCTGGTTATATATCAATATCTATATATTGCAGTTACAATATTGATATATATACCCAATATTGGGTATATTAAACATTAACGTTTTATTCCGCCATCATCATCCGGATGAATCCAATACATAGATACCGGAGCAGTATCAATAATACCCATGTCTAGTCAATAGGTGCCTAAGTTACCGCGAACAGCAGAACGAAGAGTCATTCAGTCAAATATTAATTCAAAAATAAAAAATGTAAAATTTATGCCATAAAAAACACAAAATGTAAAAAATGCCAAGTCTCGCAATGTACTTCTTCCACTACTAAAAGTTGAGAGATCCCATGTAAAACTAAGCCAGTTATTTTAGTTCGTGTCATTACACGTATAAGCACATATTTAACAGCTTTATTATAAATTGATAATAGAAATAATTATTAATGGATACGCTTACATAAATCGCTATAATCATTATTACCGTTTCACTTTTTTTATAAGTAAAAATACCTACTGTTTGTTATTATAAAACACATAAGAGAATTTAACTAACCTCGTTATCTTTATCCGCGTCCTTTATGTGTTGAGCGATAAAGCGGACGCTTTGCAGCGCTGCAGCGACCTCGGGGGACAGATGACGAGGAAGCATATTCTCCGATTCAGTCACTAGAACAAATGGCTACAATAAATAAACGTTGGTTGGAGCGTTTTCGTCTATAAATAAATATAATGCATGTATAAACAGCACAACGCCGCTTATGTAAAGCTACATCATTTTCTGATTTATAAGAAAAAGAAAATTTAAATCGTTAGGGTTACTTTTAAGGGAGATTTTTTTTCATGCAACTTCGAATGACAAGCTAACGGCCCATCTGATGTAAAGTGGTAACAGTCGCCTATAGACATGAGCAGTACCATGGACATAACAGAGTATACTGTTTCACCCACGATACCCCCACAAATTGCCATTCCTAAGGACTCAGGTGTTATTTCTCTGTACCCTGTAAATTCACTGTCATATCGCACCCTTCAAACCGAAACACAGCCATGGAAACACAACTGCTTTACGGTAGAAACACGAATGAATGATGCCCTCCCTCTGGTAAATACCACAAAAGTAGCCTTTGCCACAAAGGTCGTTTTTTTTTTCTTATTGAAGTCAGTTGTAAATTGAATATTATTCTCAAAGAAATATAGCTCGAAAAGAGACAAATAAAATTGATAAGTACAGTTCTAGTAATTAATAGCTGAATGCGCCGTGTTATTTCATTAGTCCTTATATGACTTTGATTTCATGAGATGTATTTTTTTTATACAACTTAGAATGTCAAACAAGCTGACGGCCCACCTGATGGAAAGTGGTAACCGTCGCCTATAGCCATGAGTAGTACCATGGACATTACAGAGTATACTGTTTCGCCCATGATACCCCCATGCGTTAAAAAAGGAATATGACTCGAAATATGACAAAATTGATAAGTACAGTTCTAGTAATTAATAGCTGAATGCGCCGTGTTATTTTATTAATCCTTATATGAATTTGATGGCATTCCATCAGATATTATCTATTTGTTTACTATCACAAGTGTTGAAGGAATGTGATAAAAATGTTAGCCACAGGTGAAACATAATCATGTAGGATTTATTAATATTTAGGCAGTGCCACACAAACACACAAATCGCCTGTATTGGGGGGAAAGGGGTTGTTAGTAATGGAGACTGAGAATCCCATTACTAGCAATATACCCAACCAGGTCGACCACCTCGCGGTTCTTCCTGGAAACCATCATGGTTAATTCCTGATGAATTCATCATGATGGGCTAACTGGCCTGTTTTCATTCTCATCTATCACCCTTCACTGGTGCTCCGCCAGCGTATCCCGTTAGCGCAGGCGGGGTTACCATACCATTTTCACCCATAAAAAAAAATCGCCTGTATTATAGAGATATAGGCAAGGAAAAACTAGGAGCACAACCCAGAATACGTGATATGAGCCAATTCAGAAAAGTTGTTTTCTTAAATTGCCCCAACCGGAAGTCGAACCCTGGACCTTATTTGCACAAAGCGACGTGCACACTGCGACATGGAGGTTGTCAAATAATAAATGAATAAATAAGTAAATACACATTAAAATAGGTAATAGTTAGTTGGTATGTGTGTGTTTTTTTTATAACATAAGGGGCAGATGAGCATGCGGATCACCTGATGGTAAGTGACTACCGCCGCCCATGATCACCCACGACACCAACGGTATTGCAGGTGTGCTGCCGGCCCTTTTCTTGAAGGTTACGATATCGTATCGGTTCGGAAATACTGCTGCCAGAAATGCGTACCTGAAGGCCTTTGATGAGCACTAGCAGATAGAATGTCGTCTTCTGGTGATGGTGATTTGCGGTAATCACCATTGTCGCCTCCCTTCGCGTCGCCAAACGCATCAGTGAGACTGTCTCGACTAAAGAATAGAAAAAATAGACACAATATTAATAGCTTTACTAATATTATAAATGTGGGTGTGAGTTTATTTGTTTGTCACCTATTATCGTCTTAACGGCTCGTACAATTAACATGAAGTTTAATGTACACGTACTATTTGGGATAGAAAAGGACAGACTATATATCCTAGTCTTTAATTACTTGCATAGGCATGAGTGTGTAGTACTAACAGTTCTATACAATAAAATGAATAATTACTAATCAAGATATCCGAGTCAAGCGAACGAAATCACAGGTAAAAGTTATAATTATATCTCCTTTAACCGATTTCAAAAATGAGTAGTTCTAATTAACATAAAAAAGGTATTTTAAATAATTAATTTATTATAGTTCAAACGTGAGAGAAATGGCGCCCAGTTGTTAACGGATATCCGTAATATCGATATGATGCACCGGCAAATTAACTGCTGTGCCGGAATTATCTGAGTTTAACCGGATTTAACTGGATCCAACCAGAACGGTACAAGGGGATGGCTTTTGTTCGGGTAATGTGAGCTCAATTCGAATTGCATTCAGCTCTTTGATGCATAGGTTTAGATGCGGGCATAGGGATTCAATAAATATACGAGTATAATGTAAAATAGAACCAGTCTATTGATAGACTAATTCGGTTTTAGTAAAAAAGTTAAACGCTTTATAAATTAACTAGTTTATGCCCGCGGGTTCGCTTCCATATAGTATTTTTTCTGGTAAAAAGGATATATTAAATGACTGGAACAAAAAAAAAAATAATACACCTATTATCTTTATAATCTCAACTAGTACGTGTGAGGGGAGAAGCGATTGTTTATAATAGGAATTGGTAGGTTGCTAACATTGCTAGCAAAATACCCTCCCTATCAGGTCGACCTCCATGCGGTTCTCTCTAGAAACCATCGTGATTAATTTGTTTTTGAATTCGTCACGATGGGTCAACTGACCTTCTTCATCCTCACCTATTAATCGTCACTGGTGCCTTATCAGCAAATACCGATAGCGCAAACATGGTTACCATTATATTATCATAACAATTAATTGAGCCGTTAAGACGCCAATAAGTAACAAACAAACTCATTGTCATATTTTTTTATACTATTTAAAATGGCAAACAAGCTGCCGACCCACCTGATGGAAAGTAGTAACCGTCGCCTATAGACATGAGCAGTACCATGTACATAACAGAGTTTACTGTTTCGCCCATGATACCCCGCATGCGTTGCCATTCCTGAGGACTCAGGTGTTACTCCTATGTACCCTGTAAATTCACCTTTACCACATGCAAACACAACTGCTTTACGATTGAAACACGAATGGGACAAAGGTACTCAAGCAATCGACTTTTGTACAAAGTCTCTCTCTGGTATATTCATATTGTTAGTAAGAATACATGCAAATAATATATTTATATACGTTTAATAATATACTTTTATAAAGTATCAAATTCAAATAATCTTTATTCAAATACACTTGTTTACAAGCACTTTTAAATCGTCATTTCTTTATGAATGCAAGATTCGGAAAGTTATTATCTGTTGAGAAGAGTCCGCAAAGAAACTCAACAGTTACTCTTTTAAATGTCTGTTAACATTATTTGTATTTATTTAAATGTACTATGTCTAAAATTATATGGTCGTTAAAAGCCCGTGCATGGTCGACTAACACCATGCACTTTTGTCATTCAAGTAATCGTTTCAATAAGTGTTTTTATAACAGTTTTAAACTTATCAAAAGGCAGATCCAATTTATATCGAAACTAAAACAATCTTAATTTATTATTAAACATTAATCTATGTAACAATTGACTATCTTGAAAAGCACCCTTAAGAGCTGTGTAAATATTTGTTTACCTGAACTTTGTTTTATTTAGTGCTATATTTACATAACTAAAGATTGTGTCCCATAAAAAAGAACAGACTTTAATTGTGGCAAGACCAGTTGTTTAAAAATTAAACTATTCAATCGACTTCCTCTGTCCTCTGTCTCTCTGTCCCATTCGTGTTTCAACCGTGAAGCAGTTGTGTTTGCATGGCTGTGTTGCGGTTTGAAGGGTGGGATATGGCGTGAATTTACAGGGTACAGAGGAATAACACCTGAGTCCTCAGGGATGGCAACGCATGAGGGGTATCATGGGCGAAAGTGTTACAGCAAAACTCTGTTATGTCCATAGTACTGCTCATGTCTATAAGCGACGGTTATCACTTTCCATCAGGTGGGCCGGCAGCTTGTTTGCCATTCTAAATTGTATAAAAAAAAGACTGATAAAATTTCTATGTAACCATTCTGTAAGTATATCTTTTTAGGTAAAAAAAAATCCAAATGGGTTTAAAACTGACAGAGTTGTGAAGTAACAAACATGAACAAAATACGACCGAATTGAGAACGTTTGAGAATTTTTTTTTTAAGTCAATTGAAAATACAAGTTAATACAACTCAAACGTATTGCCTAACCTCATTTCCAATTCATTCGTATAGCCGTTGGATACGAAGGTGTCGTCGTAATCTGGCAGCGAATACTTGGTCCTCCTCATCATGAGGAGCTTCGGCATCAGCTGGAGGAACAGCTTCTTCATCCACGGTGACATTGTATGAGTCGAAGGTGACCTGAACAGGAAAGTGTGTATTACCTCCGAGGATTTTCTTCCCGCGTGTACCTATGAGAATTCAGGGAGCTATCTCGTAAGTATATTATTTCAAAAATACTATATTTTGTTTACTGAACCTCCCCTTTAGAAATTGGAAGGGGGGGGGGTCAGTTGTGGGCAGTTATCCGCTGATATGATGATAATAATAATGAAACGTGCTTATGAATAAGGGTCCTTAGTAAATCTGACTGTTATAAAAAGTAGCCTATATTCTTCACCTTCCCACATAATATACATATACCATCAATACGAAATTTCATAGTGACGTTATTTTACGTTTATTTAAGTTTGTTTATTAATAAAATTATCATAAAACCAGTTTTTTTTTTTCAAATCTTTTAACTTTTTAACTAAGAGATAGTCAGAAGAGTGTAAATTAAGTAGTATTTATTTAGTCAGTCTTCAATATAGGAGAGCTGCTTTGTATAGACAAAACGGACTTAATTTTAAAAGTATTCTAACCCAATCAACCTTAGGTAAGCGTCAGAATACTATAAATTATTAGGTACTTAGAGTTATCCGAATATTAAACAGTATAACTATTGTTAATTATTAATTCTAATGAATATTCTACACATTTTAATATTTAAATTATGTTCAACAAATAAAAACCAACTACAAAACCAGTTTTGATTTAAAGCCCTAAGCACCAAATTACTGAACCAATTTTAATAAAATTTCTACTGCACCAATCTGTAAACATATCCTTTCAGATAAAAAAAAGTCTCACTTGGGTTTACAACTAACAGAGTTATGAGACAAGAAACAAAAAAAAACAAATACAATCGAATTCAAAAGCTCCTTCTTTTTATCTAGGTTGAAAATGCGCGACAATTTGAAAACAGTTTTATTATGTGTAACCGTTAGTAGCACGCTGTAGATATTATTAATCTAAGTTCGTAACCCTTTTATTACATTTTCATTGACTAAATAACTGTTAAATTGACAGACGTGTTATTTATTACAAACTCTTTGAGTCCGCCGCTAACAGTACACATAACGATGTTATAATTAAGCAATTTATAGACAACATAACTTCACAACTCCTTCGAAAACGGCCTCGTTAACACAACACAAACGGCATACGTACTCAGAATCGTTCAATTGTTCATTTCATTAAAAGCTGCTACTCGTTGCGCAGTAAATATTCAGCCGCCTCCTTCAACGAGTTAATTAACGTTAATTTTAACGTTTATAATAACGTTAATTAGCTAATAACTCTTACGGACGCGTTACGCACGTTACAAACGATTCCACTATTAATACCGTTTATCTTTACAATCTGGGCTGCAATAACTTACGTATTCACAACACTCTATTACTCTAATGACAAAATAGTAATGGAACGGTATGATTTATACTACTTGGAATATACTATCGAGAATATCAGTTTTAGTGAAGTACCTACAGCAATATAAGTAGTTTGGGGGGAAAGGGATTGTTAGTAATGGAGACCAAAAATCCCATTGCTAGCAATATACCTAACCAGGTCAACAGCCACGCGGTTCCCCCTGGAAACTATCACGATTAATTCCTGATGAATTCATCATGATGGGCTAACTGGCCTGTTTTCATTCTCATCGATCACCCTTCACTGGTGCTCCGCCTGCGTATCCTGTTAGCGGAGGCGGAGTTGCCAATCCATTTTCATCCAACAAAAAAAAATTAAAATAGTTTATTATTTAGTTTACTTTTTTAAGATACGGGAATCAGATAAAGAATTGATTCTCGTATCTTTGCAAAAAAATAATTTCAATGGGCATTTTTTTATGCAGCTTAGAATGGCAAACAAGCTGATGGCCAACCTGATTGAAAGTGGTAACCATCGCCTATAGACACGAGCAGTACCATGGACATAACAGAGTATACTGTTTCGCCCATGATACCCCCCATGCGTTGCCATTCCTGAGGACTCAGATGTTATTCCTCTGTATCCTGTAAATTCACACCATATCATTCGTGTCCATGGTACTACTCATGTCTATAGGCGACGGTTACCACTTTTCATCAGGTGGGCCGTCAGCTTGTTTGCCATTCTAAGTTGTATAAAAAAAAATATTTACTAGCTGACTCGGTAAACGTTGTTTTACCATAAACATTATTTCTAGAACTATACATGAAAATATATCGTACTACAATTATTATAATCGATTGTCATCTTGCAACCCTATTGCGGAATATAAAAATCGCGATTAAACAACAGCAGGGTTCGTAAAAGCGTGAAAATTTGAATCTATATGTATTTTGCTATGTTAAATCAAAATAAAATAAAAATAAAAAAATTGTCAAAAGAATAAAAAAAACTCAGAGGTGGGTCACCCTTACCATTGAGGGTTATGAAAAATAGATGTTGGCCGATTCTCAGACCTAACCGATATGCACACAACATTTCATAAAAATCGGTAAAGCCGTTTCGGAGGAGTTTGGAATGAACAAACACCGCGACACGAGAATTTTATATATTATATATTATTTAGTTATATATGTGGGCTATATCAAAATGCGAGATGAAATTTTTTCCCGTCACTAATATCCAGTATAACTCAATATATATATATTGGAACAATACCGATAATACGCTATATATTACCCTATTTTCGTTCGAGTTAAAGCCAGAACTAATAAACTATAATGTCGACAGTATACGGCTCCGTATAATTTTATACGCATTGTTTGGATGGGCAGCGTGCATTCAATAATGGCATCCCCTTAGTACTCCACAGGCCGTATTTCACACACTATTGTCCAGTTATCGATGTGACATCGTTACAATGAACCAAAGATTTATGAGTTTGTTTGGCTATTTTACAGGTCAGCTATTGCATTATAAGGGTATTTTTTTGCTATTATTAAGTTCAGTGACTGTGCCTAAATACTTACTGGGTACGAAAGATTCTGATTATGTGATAAGAATTAATTCTAAAAATAAACTATTATTTTTATCTGGAAATTAAGTATGTAAAACCTTTATTAACAAATACAGGGTTGCACTGTTACATATTTTTGGCCCTGGCTTACAAATTAGGGTAACCTATTTCTTGTAAAGCAGTTCCTTTCAACATACTCGTACAAGAACTAGCATCTACTACGTATTTATATATGTTGCAGTCATAATTTTTAACCAGTCAAAAGTATTATTGACTAGCAAAATCAGTCAAAAGTGGTTCTGAGTGAAAATTATTAGTTATTAGTACTTTTGACTGCGGTTAAATTTGCGGTTAGGTTAGGTTAGGTACATTTTAACTGTTATTTTAGTCAAAACTATTATTGACTAAAGCAAATCAAACAAAATGACAAAAGTACTTTTGTCTGATTTTGCTAGTCAATAATACTTTTGACTGGTTTAGAGTTTTGACTGCAAATATATATATATATATATATATATATATATATATATATATATATATATATATATATATATATATATATATATATATATATATATATATATATATATATATATATAGAAATAACAATATTGGATATATATATATTATTTTGATATATTTTTTTATAAAATTTCTATACGACCAATCTGTAGGTATATTTTTTCAGATAAAAAAAAGAATTTTTCAAATCGGTGTAGAACTGACGGAGCCATGACTCCGTCATTTACCTCATAAGGTAACAGACATAAAAAATACAACTGAATTGAGATCTTTCTTTTTTTAAAATTGAAAATATTAAATTTCTAATACATATATTTTATTTCTTTCACTTTGAAATTTATGAATTTAGTACTATAAAATTCAACTGTAAGTGTAAATATCACTGAACAGTTTATACATAATTTTACTTATTGATTTATTGATAGTACATAATTTACATTGGGCACATTAAGAAAATTTAATATATAATGACAGACTTATCCCATAGAGGGATCTCTTACAGTCAACCATTGCATGCTTGTTTTATTAACTAATTTATTTATTTTACAATATTTTTATGTGTTTATATTTTATTGTACATAAAAAAAATTAAAAGCTATTATTATTAAAACTATAGATTTTAATTCATAAATTTAAAAGATTTCATATTTCTATACTGAGATATTTGAGGGCTTACGAGTATAACCCATTACGGATGGAACGGTTATAATAGATCAGATATTAAGAAAGCATTGGTGCATTAAAAATGAGACTAAAGATCTTACTTAATATAGACATACTAGTTATTTGATGAATATATCACTCATTTATGTTTATTTTATATAAGCCAATCAAACTTAAATATCGCTTTATCGATTGTTTTTAACTTAATTTTAATAATACCTACTCTAGTTAAGGCTGCTGCTGATGCAAAAATGTAACGTGCTTCATCCATTAATTTATTTAAACTTTACTTTTCTGATTTGTGAAACTTTAAAATGCCTCTATTAAGAAGCTCATTTAAACTAATGCAACTCTTTGGTATAAACCTCATGACGAAAACATGAGTAAAGCATACTTAAGAATTTCAAAGTAACCCAAACATATTTAAAATACACAATCGAGTCTTCGTCGTGGCCAGGAGAGGACGTGGTGCATTCCACGTCGAAGCGTCGGTAATAAAAAAGCAGGTATAAAGGTACTAATTACCTGTAAAGATTTTTACATCACGTTAATTCCCGATTGTGTATTTAAAATATGTGTAAACAGCGCGAAAGTTTAAAATTAACTAAAGCAAACATGTAGAGTACTTACCTAAAATGTACATTGAGAACACACACCGTCATCCATACACTGAGCGATACCAAAATCATTGTGAACAACAAATACTTCCCTAACAACGGTATCGCCAGTGATGTTGGTGGTATAATCTCGGCCAGTAACAGGAAAAACACCGTCAGTGATACCAGGATAGAGATGCTTAATGATATCTACGAGAAAAGACATGTATTACCTGAAATGGACGTTAAGTATGCATACAGTGACCCAAACGCTGAGCGAGACTAGTATCATGGTGAAGAGTAGATATTTGCCAAGTAAAGGGACGGCCAGCGAAGTCGGCGGGATGATCTCGGCCAGCAGCAGGAAGAACACGGTCAGTGACACGAGGATGGAAATGCAGAGCGAGATCTAAGGGAGAGAAGTCCTTTTTGAATTAAACAATTTAAAAAAAAGCCTGAATTGTCTTTCCACTCGTGTGATTGTGGCGTGTAATTGTTGGTAATGTCTTTAATGTATTATCGTCAAAGCTTCGTGTGAGATTGTGAAGTGCTCAGCATGCATCATGGGTAATCGAGTTCGATCGTGTAGCACAGTGTTTTTCAACGTGTGGATCCCGACCCCCTGGGAGGAGCGAAAACTACCTCAGTAAAAAAATATATTCGATGTAAAAATATGTACTTAATTCTGTATTTATCCGAAACATAATTGTGCAAATGCATAAAATAGCTGTATGGATTGAAGTATTTAATCCCTACAACATTTTTGTAACATTATAAAATACTTGAAAAAAAGCGAAGGGTCGGGGGTCGCTAAATATTTTTTCATTATAGAGGGGGTGGGGGTTGTGTCATGAAAAGGTTGAAAAACACTGGTGTAGCGTATAGTGAAGTATTATACACACATTTATTTAAAAGTAATAATCAAATTGCATTAAATATGAATATTATTTATTTTATAGAATTTAATGATATTTTATCACAAAAAAAACATCTCTTGACATGAGAAAACTAAACATTGTTAACTACAGGCCTTCTAAAATCTACTACATGGTAATAAGCGAAAACATAAAAATATGCAGAATACAAGCATTGGAATCAAATATTATTTTTAAGTCTAACAGAAATCTACAAATTTATTAATATTAACACATAAATTTTATGCAATAAAAAAAATTAATTACTTCAACTACATTTTTACAAATTTGTAAATTTCTGTTAAACTAAGCTTCCCCTTAGGGAATTTTGCCAGTAGTTGCCACGCTTGGCAGGCGGGTTGGCAACCGCAATCAGGTTTTAGAGATGTTTTACGCTGCTGCCTATCCCTCGTCCTCCCTAAGTCGGCTCTTACGACACCCACGGGAAAGTAAGGGGTGGCCTATTCTATGCCAGGACCACACGGCCTAAATTAAACTAAGCATCTATTACAGTGAAAATTAATTATGCAGAAAATTATAGTCATCTTTTAGACATCTAAGCTCTTAAATTATTTGAAAAAAAAATAGAATTTAATCTATTAATGAGTTTAAGTATCATGTCATTGATTTTAGTAGAATTTAGTAGTTTAATGTCTAATCAAATGCTAATCAGCATGCAAGTTCATTACACATCATACCTACCTGCAATTTAGAGCAAGGCATTTAAAAATTCACAAGGAAAAATGAAGTAAGATAGCAATAGTCCTCAGTTTTATCAGACACGTGTACCTACGAAAACTATGGAAAGAATTTTATATAATGTAAAAAATCTGTTTTTCCTAGTGAATCATATCAAAACAATTCTGCCACGTGGTAATTTTGGAAAAAAAATTCTTGTTCGAATAAGAGAAATTTCGAACGACTTTATTACAATGTCCTGCTAATGGAGAATCATTTATATTTAGTAGTCAATTGTTTACGTACATAATTCACGATTTTTAATCATAAATATTTATCCAAACATAAGTCCAAAATTCTATTACATTTTTACGTAAAAACAAATGTTCTAATCCAGAATCCGGTAATAATGAAAACAATAAAGAAAAGTAGATTGATTTCTAAAAAAGTTCCCTTGGCAAATTTATTTTGGTACTTTTCCCCGTGGAAAGACAATAATGATACAAACAAACTCATTTCAATGACACTAACACACTCACACATCTAGCTAATGAATCAAAAAAGACTATTGGTAATGGGTGTAACGAAGGCATGGATTATGGATGGTTCGGTGGACTGAAGGATGGATACACGCATGCCCTAATGCTCTCTATCTTTTTAAAGATAGACATCGAAAGATATCTGATCTTATAATTTTTATTTCCTTGCATTGGACTGAATGTAAATATACTCGTATTTTAAATGATACATACCAATTTGGAGAATTAATATCGTCATTATTTCTATTATGAATGATATTCTTCCTTATATGCCTTACTTTTTCAATTGGCTTAATAAAACCAGATTGCCTTCGATGTATAGGCATAATTATACACATCACACTGAGCAGAATAATTGAGACAAGGATTTGGCTTCTGCAATTTAGACTCTATATATTTTAGTGACAGAATTCAATATTGATGTTCATGAGAATATTTTTTTCTCGCCATAATTTAAAAGCTGTAAAAGACTTTGTTCAATATTGCGCAGTGACGTCAAAATAATAACTAAGTAATTGTTGTTAACAGTTATGTCTAATTTGCAGACTGATTTAAAATGCATTTTCCGTATATTTTCTATATAAATACAAACGTAAATTAAAATTAGATTTTAAAATGGAACATACCTTTTCCCCAGAATCCGATGGCAGATAAAATACTAAAACGGTTAAAAATGTGAGACCAACGCAAGGGATTATCAAATTAACAGTATAAAATAGGGTTTTTCGACGCATGGTTAGCTTGAACGTAATATCTGAAACAAATATTTTGTAATTAATTACTATTAACTAAATAGTATTAATTTAGGTATAGTAAAGCATTTAATTATTTACTCTTTATTGCACCACTTAAAAAACAATACAAAATAATTGTACACTTATGAATTACAAAAGATGGTCTTATCACCAAAGCAATCTCTTGCAGACAACCTTTGGGTAGAGGAGAAAAGAAAAAAGGCGGTACCTATTTGGCACAGTAACTATATCTACTAAAAAAACCCTCGTGTAAAAAACATATGCAAATAATCATATGAATATAATACATATGTATATTTAATGGATAAAATTAAAATAACCCTTTATTTTAAAAATAATTCCTAAGCGAAAATGTGAGTACGGATTTTTTTTATACAATTTAGAATGGCAAAAAAGCTTACGGCCCACCTGATGGAAAGTGGTAACCGTCGCCTATAGACATGAGCAGTACCATGGGCGTAACAGAGTATACTGTTTCGCCCATGATAACCCCCATGCGTTGCCATTCCTGAGGACACAGGTGTTATTCCTCTGTACCCTGTAAATTAACGCCATATCCCATCATTCAAACCGAAACACAGCCATGCAAACATGGCTTGCAATGCAAATGCAAATGCAAACATGCTTCACGGTTGAAACACGAATGGGCCAGAGGTACGCTTTTAGCAGATAATATCTAATATATAGTTTACCTGCCTGGTCGTTATATAGATTTGTGATATTTGACCAATATACATATATTGCAACTATATATAGCTTATATTATCCAAACCTATTAAATAAATCTTGCACGTTACACCCCTAGTGTTGCAGCCGTCCATAGGCTACCATCATCATTTCAACGATCATCTGTTCATAGGCTATAGCGATCGTTTATCAATAGACGGACTGTATGCTTGTTTGCCACCTTTGTGAAATACACTTATTTATTTATTTATTTATACTTTATTGTACACACAAAAAATAAACAGATGTAAGTAAATGTACAAAGGCGAGCTTAACTCTAAAAGAGTTCTCTTCCAGCAAACCCAAAGTGGAAAGGAGCATAAATTTCAGCGGGTAGAGCGGTGTACAATATTGTGACAATTTTCAAACAAAAAGAACTCGTAACAGTTACCTGAAAAAGGCTCCTGACAACACGGGTAGTATTCCTCGTTCCTGGTAGCGGGCACTTCCAAGATATCCCACTCAACTGACAGGTAGAACTCGCTCAAGTCAATCCCGACGGGGACCAAACTGCTGCCTGGAGACTGGTCCATATGTTTAAGGTCCACCTATTAAAATAAAATAAAAATCTTATATTTGTTATATAAATAATTACTTAGTAATAATGTGTGTCTAGAGTGATGTTAATAAATTTTATATAAATAATTTTTAACTGACTTCCAAAAAGAAAGAGGTTCTCAATTCGGTTATATTTTTTATCTGAAAGGATATACTTTCAGGTTGATCTTATAGAGATTTCATCAAAATCCGTTTAGTGGTTCGTTTTTTAAATCAAAACAACTGGTGGTGCAACGATTGAAGACAGATTTTTTCAACATACGTCAAAACAAAGAGATTTGCTATTCATTTGTATGTTTTTTTAATGTTTGTAACGTCATAACTCCGTCAGTTGTAAACCGATTTGGAAAATTCTTTTTTTATCTGAATGGATATATTTACAGATTGGTCTCATAGGAACTTTATTAAAATCAGTAGCAGTTATCTAGTTCTGAAATCAAAATAATTGGTTTTATCACAATTGAAATAGTTTTTTTTTTTTTTGTGTGAAACATAAAATAATTATTATGGAACAGAATCTCCTTATATTTTAATTTTTTTATTATTTTATCATACTTGGTTATGTTTTGGAAAACATGAGTAGTACCATGGACATAACAGAGTATACTGTTTCGTCCATGATACCCCCCATGCGTTGTCATTCCTGAGGACTCAGGTGTTATATGTCATATAACACCATATAACATGCTTATGTCTATAGGCAACGATTACCACTTTCCATCAGGTAGACCATCAGCTTGTAGGCCATTCTAAGTTGCATAAAAAAAATCATTTATTTCGTGATACCTAAATAAATTTCTGTGACCAAACCTTTCCCAAAACCATAACCAATTATGATGTTTTTTTTTTAACAGAGTTTATGACCATATTGATCTCTTATTATTTATTGCATAATTGAAATAGCTGTGTTTTGCAGGAGTCCTTGCTGGTATATATTATACCTGAGCGCCGTTGTAAGTCCAAGAACCGAACTTCATGAAACATGTTTGTTCATCAAACGGAAAATATTCCACATTGATCTCACATGATGACTTGTAAATAGCTGGCGGTTTCCAATTCACTTCTCCTGTGTACTTCAAAGTAGCCTTTGTCATAAGTGTCACCTGAAAAATAGATAGATACTCTTTATTGTTTCCTCCATAAGATTACAATAGTAAACTTATTATAAATACAAACAATTACAAGAAAATATTACATTGAGGAAATAATGGGCGACTTTATCACGAACAGCGATCTCTTCCAGACAACCTTTCTTCTCCATGAAGAATAAAGAGTAAAATATTATTATTTTATGAAATATATGTCTGTATGATGCCGTGTGGTCCCGGCATAGACCTGACGACTCTTTCCTTTCCCGTGGATATCATAAGAGACGACTAAGGCAACTTAATGGTCGAGGGATAAGCAGCAGCATCCCTCTTGAAATATTACCGAAGACTCGATTGCCAAACCCGGGTGGGTTGGCAATCGAAGTTAGTTTTTAGCAGAAGTGCAGAAACTACTGGTAAAATCCCTCTTATAAGGGGAAGCCTATATTTAGCAGTGGCATTAAGGGCCAAAATGATGATGATAATGATGTGTATTTTAGGGTCGTGGCCTCATCGTGTATTACCCGGTTTTCAAGACCTCAAAAATAGTAGGTTCAAATTTCGCAGATATATTTTTTACTAAATAATCTGTCGAACATTCATTTGCTTCCTAGCGCCACCCACTTACTTAAATAAAAACTATTCTATCTGTGAGGATGAAGCAAACTAAATGTGTATTACATATACTCTTGTTCACAATATTTAAAACTATCTTATGTATGTAACTTACAAGTGCAATAAAGAATATAATACATTTACAAAATTTCATTAAAATCGGTCGACTAGTTTCTAATATTGGCGTGAACAAATATTGTGACACGGAATTTTTACATATTCAAAATTGTACCTTGGACTTCGTTCACATGATCCATATAGAAAATGACTTATTACCTACTATGACAAAAATTCCACGCCACATTTTATAAATGATTGAACCGTTAAAATTCTAAGAGATAAACGAACTAACTTTTACGTTAATTCTCGTAATGTTAGTAAATATTCCTTAGGACTAAGTTATGCCTCTTTACCCCTGCAACTATACTGCTATATTATTATTCTATTTTATAGAATTTTCGACAATAATATATAGCCTTTGTTACTCACTGAGAATATAGCTATATGAAATAAAAAGATGAAAGAATTTTTAATTGGTTAAGTAGTTTTGGAGTTTATCCACTACAAACAAACAAATCTTTCCTCTTTATAATTAACTTTTTATGATGTTAATTTTGATTACCTCATAATTTCCATCCCAGTTATTATACAGTACAATGTCAGGTAGCCAGATGTGTTCAGATGGCACGTATAGCATCTCGAGACCGCCATAGTCCTCAGGATTCCATGTTAGCTTATAGTCATACCATTTCTGAAAACAGTGTATTGATTATATTAAATACTGATGCAAAGTATGTACGATAAAAATTGAACAATACTATTTACTATATACATTTTAACTGACTTTAAAAAGAGGGAAAGTCGCAATTCAATTATTTTTCTATGTTTATTACCTCACAAATCCGTCAATTGTAAAGCGATACGGAAAAATCTTTTTTTATCTGAAAGGATATACTTACAGATTAGTTCTGTGGGAATTTTATTTACCTTACTTTTATACTTTGGCACGTAAATTAATAACTCATATAATATATGTATATTGACAATCTTCTATACGTTTGTCTTGTCTCTCACAATCTGATTATGATATAGCGCATATCATATCCTATATCACATATTCAGTATTATAGCGTATACAATATTCTATAGCGATAGGGTTAAACTATTAAGAAGTGATATAAAAACAAACTCATTTTACCATAATATTATTTATATTATAAATAATATTATGGTAAAATGAGTTAGTTATGATGTAAATATTTTGCTAACTAGTGAAACACCTAACTTGAGGGGAAAAGGATTGTTAGCAGTGCGATCTCATTACCCCATTGCTAGCAATAAACCTGTAGATATATAATAAATCAGGTTGACGTCCATGCGGTTCTCCTTAAAAACCGTCGTAGAATTCTTGTGAAATTCGTCACAATAGGCTACTTAACCTGTTTTCATTCTCACCTATCATTTCTCGCTGGTACCTCGCTATAGCACAGGCATATATATCATTCTATTCTCACTAATTTCTCACTATTAAAAAAAAAATGCACGAGACTTACCTGTTCAACCCAAAGATTCGTGGTCATAACCTGATTCTTTAAATTGACTTCCATCAGCTGTGACAACTTGAGGCCCAGCCGCACCGTCAGTATGTCCGTCACGTTTGTCACCGGCCGTATCAATCTATTGTAATTGCTGAGCAAATCATCGTAGAGCCGCTTCACGTCCGGATTTGCTTCTAATAATTTTACACCTACAAATAAATATGTAGTTTTATAAAATAACTTCAAATAGGATTAAGTTCTCAATTCATAACACTTTGTATACAATAGAATAGTTTATTGTAAGCTGTATATTTTAATAATTCGATGTTTATAGCGAATTAAAGGAAATTAACATAATCTACCCATACATCATACATCGGGCATACAATACAATTAATTTAATTATTTATTGTACACACTAGTTTTAAGATTAAGACAGAGGTTATCAAACGCACAAAGGCGAGCTTAACTCTGATAGAGTTTTCTTCCAGCAAACCCAAAGTGGAAAGGAGCATCAATGTCAGCGGATAGAGCAGTGTAGAATATTGTGACAATTTTTAAACGGAGAAAATTAAATTAATTACATTATATTTAATCGTACAAATACACATATACCTACATCTATGCATATACTTACACACACATACACATATATATATACAATATACGTACATATATAGATAAATAAATATATGTTCATAGAGATACCAGAGGGAGACTTTGTACAAAAGTCGATTGCTTGGGTACCTCTGTCCTATTCGTGTTTCAACCGTGAAGCAGTTGTGTTTGCATGGCTGTGTTTCGGTTTGAAGGGTGGGATATGGCGTGAATTTACTGGGTACAGAGGAATAACACCTGAGTCCTCAGGAATGGCAACGCATGGGGAGTATCATGGGCGAAACAGTATACTCTGTTATGTCTATGGTACCGCTCATGTCTATAGGCGACGGTTGCCACTTTCCATCAGGTCCATCAGGTGGGCCGTCAGCTTGTTTGCCATTCTAAGTTGTATAAAAAAAAAGATAGAAGATGCTCTTTAATTCTGCTCTTAAAAATCTTAAATTTACATATTATTAATGATTTTATAGTTATACAATGAAGTCGTCATTAGAATTTAGAACAGAATAAAATACAACAAACAATGATAATAAATTCACTCGTGGTCACAATAGAATGTAAATAATGTAGGTATGTAATAGAAACGTTGTCTTCTCCAAGCGAAGACCTTGTCAATTGTGGTTTGATTACTTATAACTTACATCATCATCATTTCAGTAAATACCCGTCCACTGCGGGACATAAGCCTCCCTCATAGACTGCCATAAAGTAAGGTCCTGAGCCACCTGCATCCACTGACTCCCTGCAATGCAATTCAGGTCGTCACTCCATCTAGTGGGAGGTCGTCCTACACTGCGTTATAACTTATAACTTTATTGACCAATAATATGTTGTTCTCTACCAACCGTTTGTTATGATCCTTTTTTAATTAAAAGAGTTAAGGTACTCCCACGTTGTTTCTATACTAATTTTGTTTCGGTTAAAGCAGTTTTTTTTTTTTTGTAGAACAAAATTTTTATTGTTTATTCGAATGAGAAATATATAATTTAAAATTTCTATATCACTTAAAAGAAATTGTCAAGACGAGCTAAGAATAAGCTAATTATCTTACATAAGTTGAATTAATACTTAATAATATACACATAAGGCATAATTTTAATTATGACACTTCTTGAGAATGCCAAAGAACGGATTCTGTGAAACGAAAGGTTCTATTAATCAAATACTAAGTAAAGAACATATGTGCATAATTTTTTTTATTTTATACAATTTATTATATAGAAAATACTCACCCAAACAATTCCTGACGTATATTAAAAACAACCACACAATTCCTAATTTCATTTTGGCACTTTTTAGTAACTAATTCTTAATAATTTCACTGTGTCATGTTTACAATGATAAGATTCTGTACAGTGAGATAAAGAGTTTGCGCAGGCGTAATCAATAAAGTACCTAACCAAAAATATAAAGTCAAAAATACGCCCACTGCATATCGTAGACTCGATGGTAGCGAATAAATTCGCAGCGGTGCTACGCGGAACTACGAATATTTAGTTCAAATATATTATCATAGATGGCGTCGTTGCTAGTAAAACATTTATTTTAATAAAAATAGAAATAAACAAAAATATTCTATAAAAAATGTTTAATTATATTAAATAACAAATTAAAATGTATACAAATGGAATCTTGTCGTACATATTGCTATACATAACTGAATGTTACCTGTATTTTTTTTACAACGAATAATTAAACTTATGTGTAAATTTATTTTTACTATAATCAAAAAGTTTACATAAAATTAAAAATGGAATTTGAGCATGAACAAATTCTATCAGAGAGATATAATATGAAATAATAATTTGTTTAAAAATATTTTTTTAGAATAAATATTAATTTAATACATATCTTTGTGTTTCCATAATATAAATAATGTTTAAAGATTTTTTACAATTAATATAAAAAAATAAATTACATAATAATTGAGTATTGAAATAAACAGTTGAGCATCAGGCTATCTTACTGCCAATTTTCATCACATTTAATTGAGCATCTCTTTTTTATAATTCACGCGGCTAACTGCCATATTTTTTATCATTACTAGAAATAAATCAAAATAACTATGTTTTTAAACTCAAAAATAAATCTGTTATGTTATTAAGTTTTAACAAATTAATGCTAGACCAAAGAAATTGGCAGAAATGTCTAGTCTGGAACGATATATTAGTTGTCATATATTTATTTATATACGACCTTAGTTTAAAACAATATGATCGATTTTTATCTCTTGTTCTGCCTCTTTTGTTGTTGCAAACGTCTTCTATAGTGGAATGACTCGTGAGATTCTACGTCCCGATCTGAAAGAAATAGTAAAATGATTATATTATATTTTTTTATTTATTTATTTGATACTCATGTTTACATAAATATACAATTACTTGCAAAAGACTTTCATTTATTATATAATAAATTATGTTATACACAATTTTTTAATATATAAAACATCAAAATCAAATCTAAATACATATACTTAATATATTTTGGCAAATAAAATGTAGGTTTTATTTTTTATTATTTTTTCTTTATGCAACTTAGAATGGCAAACAAGCTAAGACCCACCTGCGGGAAAGTGGTATCTGTTGCCTATAGACTTGAACAGTACCATGAACATAACAGAGTATACCGTTTCGCCCATGATCCCACCCATGTGTTGCCATTCCTGACCACTAAAGTGTTATACCTCTGTATCCTGTAAATTCACAGCCATATCCCACCCTTCAAACCGAAACACGGCCATGCAAACACAATTGCTTGAATGGTAGAAACACGATTGGGACAGAGTTACTTAAGCAATTGACTTTTGTACAAAGTCTCTCTCTGGTAAATTAACAAAACTTAACAACGGTTATATTAACTTAACCATTTTTAAAGCAATTTAAAAGTTAATCCACTACTCGATATGTTAACTTCGTTAATTTGTTAGTTTAATTCTATACCTATATATTCTATACCTTTTAAAGGAAATTTTGGTAACGGCCACAAACTAAACGGAAAGAAGTATGTATTTGGCAATCTTCTCACGACTATTGTAGTTTTCTCTTGCACCATTTTGGATTCTGAAAACAAAAGTCTTAGCTCACTTGTAAATTATTTAATAAACCGTTCAGGACATTATTTTTTTATTATCTATCAAAATACAAGGCAGATTTAAAAAAAAATATCATTAAAAATACATAATAGTACTTTTAGCCGCGACTGACCGGGTCTGACTGACTTATGTCCTTCTCCGTTCCAAACATAGTGTGTGGTTAAGCCGCAAAAGCAATAAGACGTGACAAAAAACTCACATTCACGTTTATAATTTTTAATAAAGATTCTAAATTCTTTAATCATCAAGTATGTTGTAGAAATCTCTTATTAATATTAGATAGATAGATAGATAAACTTTATTGCCAGTAATAATATTAAAAAAAAATTAACAATAAAAAAAAATTCATTTTGCTGATAATAGGAGCCGCCTCAGCTGTTGCTATACATATATGTACATGAGCGAGATGTAGGTACCTAAATAGCGCTGATTTTCAAGCGGCCTCTTAATTATCGGCGGCTTAGTTTTTAATATAAGACTAGGTATTGCAGCATCTGTCTCTATATTCTCTTATGGCTTTAATGGGTGAAAATTATAAATCTGCCAGCGCCATCTGTATACACGAGATGATAACAATAAGTAATAATAAACTAAGACGAAGGCGGGTCAGTTAACCCATCGTAACATATTCCACAAAAATTAACCGCGATTATTTCTAGGGGGAACCGCGTGGAGGTCGATCTGATAGGATATATTGCTAGCAATGAAACTATTAGACCCCATACTTGTATGCGTATGGTATGTTTATAAACAATTTGAATTCAAGATGTAACGTCGTGATGTTGATCGTTATAAACAAGGAAGAGTTAGGGCGGTAATCGAACCCGCTTCCTGATCTGAAACTAGGAAGACATCGAAGGTATCAATGTCAAAGTCATTATAATGTATGGAATATTTCTAGCGGTTTCAGCCAAGTGAATAATGAACAATCATTATGTCCGTTGAATGAATGTAGGCGGAACAACGCTTCCATTTTTATAATTTTGAAATAGTCACAATTTACATTTTTTTTCTTCGTATTCCTAATTGGATGGAAAGGGGGGAAAGGGATTATTAGTAATAAGATCTGACAAGGGATTTACTAATAATATACCCTAACAGGTCGACCTCCACGCGATTCTCCCTGGAAACCACCGTGGTTAATTTTTGATGAATTCATCACGATGGGCCAACTGACCTGTTTCATCCTCATCCATTATCCCTCACTGGTTCCCCGTCAGCGTATACCGATAGCGCAAGCGAGATAACCTTTCCATTTACATCCATTAAAAAAAATAAGGTAGAAATAAACATATTTTGTACCCCGTGTTATGGAGCGAGCGTTAATAGCTGCGACACAGTCTCTTTGTGACTAATGCAGTTATTATCGATCCTAAAAAAAACTGTAAATTAAGCTAAGGATCCCAAATAAACATTTTTATTATTTATTTATTTTATATTCAAGGAACCTTTTTTTTTTAGATACTGAAATATAGATATCGGAAACGACGGACGATTCTATTCAAATATAATATATAGTTACGAAAGTTTAAATATATTAAAATCCAATATCAATATATCATTCAATATTGCACGTAACTGTTACCATGCTTATTACATACATTTTTTAATGAATGATAATGGAATGATAACCCCACCTGCGCTAATGGTATACGCTTTCGAAGTATCAGAGAGGAATGTTACGGTGATAATGAAAATCATTCAATTAGTCCGTTATGATCAATACACCTGGAATTCAGCACCATAGATAAGCATATGCAGGGGGATATATATATATATATATATATATATATATATATATATATATATATATATATATATATATATATATATATATATATATATGCCAGTCAAATAGCATCCAATGTAACAACGAGCGAGCCTACCGCCGTCGCTTCTATTAATTTGATTTCTTCTGGGAGTTTTCCATCATTGGAAAATTAGTCGGAAATTCAAATTGGTATCTGCTAGATTCGAACTTACGACCTTTGTGGTCTATAAGTAGTACATTACTAGGCAACGATTTTCTAAATTAATAATTAAGATTAGTTTTAGATTACAACACGGAAATTAAGGAAAAATATTTCATTGCGATTATCTTGGAACAAACAAATATAGAATTATTATATATACATATAATCTACATCCCTTTGTTTATTTAAATATATAATATATAATATATATATATATATATATATATATATATATATATATATATATATATATATATATATATATTTTTTATATATTGATAAAGGTACTTGCAATTATTTTCTTTTTTTTTACGAATTTGATAAATAGAATAGAATAGAATTATTAGAATAAATTTATTATATTAACTTTCTTAATTATACAATATTATCAAACCTACTTGTACAACAATTAGTTTATTACCCTAAAGTTTTCCTGAAAAGATTGCTCTCAGCAATAAGACCGCCTTACTGTACTTATACAATTGTATCGTTGTGTTTGTAAATTGTCTTGTTTATTTCCTATATTGTATAATGCAAATAAAGTATACTCATTCATTCATCAATTAATTTTTAAAAAACGAGGTGGGATATGGTGAAATTACATAAAATAAAGTCGTAAATAGGCATGTTTAATATCGAAATTGCTCCAAATTCAAATTATCTTTATTAAATTAGACTTGTTTATAAACATTTTTAAATCTTTTTTTAATCTTTAATTATGTCTCATATGCTATAGATTACCATTTTCCATAAAGATTATTAGCTTGTTTGCTATTCCTTGTTACATAAAAAAAAAAAACATAAATGAACACCATTCCATAATCGATGTTTACAATTGTTCCAGCAGCACAATTTGTGTTGCACTTCCTGGTCGTGCAATGGAAAACTATTTTCCACTTAAGGCAATGGATATTTATGGAAATTGATAATACTACGTCAATTTAAATCTACCATTTTACAAATTCACAACCAACATTAGACAGACAAATCAATAGGTATTTATCAATACGAGGGGAAGTCAAAAAGTTCACGGAATGAGGGGGAAGGTGGTTGAAATTAAACATGAAACTATTTTTTCTTTTCAATATATTCCCCCTTAACCTTAATACATGTTTCGGATCTCTCAAATAATTTGATTATACCATCGGAAAAAAAGGTTTATCTTTGCTGTCAAAATAAGCCGAAATTGCGGACTTGACTTCTCCATTGTCGCCAAATATTTTCACGCAGCTCCTTTTTCATTTTTGGGAATAAATAATACACTTTCCATTGATAGAAATACTAGCTTTTACCTGCGACTTCGGCCACGTGACCAGGATATAACTTATTGGGATTGAAAGCAGCCTATGTTTTTGTCCTTCCCATATAGTATATTAATACCAAATATGATTGTGATTGATTTAGTTCCACGAATACGCCTGTGTGAATTAATAAATAAATATATTTCTTTTCTTTATTTACATATATGTATATCTATGTTTCCTTTCCAATGTGGTTAAAGGCAACTAAGGAACTCAATGGTCGAGGAATGGACAGCAGCGTCTCTCTAAAACATCACCTAAAGATGCGATTATCAACTCTCCTGCCAAGCGTGGCAGAAATCCCTAACTAAACTAAACTAAAAAAATAGGAGTTCTATGTTGCAGCAGCAGTGGACAGTTAATAGCTAATGTGATGACGACGATATCTGCACATATCTATGCGTTTGCCAAATTTCATTGAAAACCATTCAAATATTTGGTTGTGATTGAGTATATCGTTTGATAAAAATAATGAAGTATAAAAATCGGTCCAAAATTGTCAAAAATTAATGAACTGATGACCTTACCCTTTTATTATATTTATTTATATATATATATTTATTCTTTATTATATAAAAATATATATAAAAATATATATATAATATATATATATATATATATATATATATATATATATATATATATATATATATAAAAAAGCTGTACAACAGGCGAGCTTAACTCTGTAAGAGTTATCTTCCAGCAAACCCTGAGAGAAAAGGAGCATTAATTACCAGCGGGCAGTGTGCGTACAATAATAGAAGGAAACATTATAGATGTTTCTATTAAGAAATAATAAATATGTTGACATATATACAAAGTAACTCATATAATTAAATTCAAAATACATAAAATATCTCTTCACATGATTTATGAAGATAATGAAGTCATTTAAGGCCCATCGTCGTTTGTTTAAATACAAGTACAGATAAAATAATGCTCTATAAAGTAATGTTACACAAGAAACTGACTTTAAACCAGTTATTTTAATTTAAAAACTAAACTACTGGACTGATTTTGACACAGTTTCTGTGACACTGATCTGTAAGTATATCCTTTCAGATAAAAAAAAAAAGAATTTACCAAATCGATTTACAACTGACGGAATTATAAGGTAACAGACATAAAACAAAAAATTACTTTCGAATTGAAAAACTGCTTCTTTTTGAAGTTAGTTGAAGAGTCGAAGCAGTATACTCTGTTATGTTTTTGGTACTGCTCGTGTGTATAGGCGACGGTTACCACTTTCCATCAGGTGGGCCGTCAGCTTATTTGATATTCTAAGTTGCATAAAAAAATAGAATTAACTCATACAATATCTGCACATGAGAGAAGAAAAGAGAATCCAAAAAAATATATATGACTGGTGTTTACAAGAGTAATAAATGCCAAAATAAATTCTGGCATCGCGTAAAAACTACTGCACGAAGTTGAATGCGGCTTTAAAAGTCGTATTTAATGAAAATCTAACATAAAAACTGGTGTATGTCTTATTTTGAATACGCTATCTAGAAATGATTTATTTTATTACTTTTTCTAACTCAAATTTAAATATTTTTTTCTTAAAATAGACTTGTTTACAAGAACACTTAAATCGTCATTTTTTAAATCTACTATAGGGTTCGAAAAGTTGTTATCTGTTGAGAAGAAATCGCAAGAAACTCAACAGTAACTTATCTATTTCCACGTGTACT